TCTGACGCTCCAAAAGGAAGACGGTAATACATGTACTTGAGAAAACTCCTCCGCATACGACGAAAACTAAGCCTACAGCCCATCCATTCAAAGAATAAAAGGGCCTTTCGGGAATAAAATTTTATTCCCTTTGACGTGGGGGTCACGATTTGGGAAAATGAGGTAAATTAATCTGTTTGTCCTTTTAGATAACATTCTTTTCCTGCTCTTAGCGGCGTATCCCAAGGACAATTATTTGGTCCCCGTTACGAACGGTATTTTTCTACCTTATTAGTGAAGGTTGAAAATAACCGTCATTTCTTTCCTTCATAGTCCCACTTTCTGACAGTATTCGGCCAGATAAGTAAACAATAATCTACGACATGGTTTGACTAGTATTTTGCAATGCAAAGGAAACACACGTCGGGGTGACAGGGGTTTCTTTTATTTTGCAATCCCACCGTCGTTAACACTACTCTACTTTTTCTTTGTCTAGTAGTAGTAGTATAAGGTCATATGAGCGCGCTTTCTTTGTCTGTTGTTGGGGGTTTTTTTGGCTTCTAGATCGTTTCTGTTGCTCGCTGTCAGACGGGCATACGTGCTTTCATTTACACAGATAGAGAGAAAGATAAAATGACAGAGACAGAGAAAAAGAAAGAGAGACAGACAGAGAGAGACCGAGAGAGACAGAGAGAGACAGAGAGAGACAGAGACAGAGATTGGGAGACAGAGAGAGAGTGAGAGACAGACAGACAGACAGACAGACAGACAAACAGATAGCATAAAAGGAGAGAGAGACTGAGGGACTTACAAGATGCATATTATGCGTGTGTGTGTGTGTGTGTGTGTGTGTGTGTGTGTGTGTGTGTGTGTGTGTGTGTGAACCTGTGTGTGAACCTGTGTGTGTGCGCGCGTGTTAAACAGAGAATAAGAGCGGGAACTTTCAATAAGCCTTTAAGACCACACTCATAAGCCAGCGAGGGTATTGCGTTACATGCCTACAAGGCCGGCAAGCGACCACAGAGTGGCCTGGCGAGTTTGGTCAATTCGGAATGAGAGATTGACACGGTTATGAGCACACATTTGGTTTACAGGTGAATCTCAGCTCTCTGTGGGACCTTCTAATGAACGTATCAGAATTGGGTTAGGGGGGAAAGGGGTGGGGGGGGGCGTTTTGTGAACGGTACCATTGTTGAGAGGAATCCATTTGAAGGAAGTGTATTAATCGACTTGAGAGCCATGAGACATGGGCAACTATACAAGAAAATGGTACCTATACAAGAATACCTTTCTATCCTGTAAGTGGGAACGTGACTGGTTTTAAAGTCCTTCGTTATCGCATCCCTTCAGCAATAATATGATAATGATCTCGATCAGCTGACATAATAAGCTGGGGTCCCTAGGTGGGAAAGCATCACAGCTGGCGGGTTTTTGAAAAAAAAGAAGTATCGAGTTTCTGTGACATTTAGTTCTATGGAATAGTACGTATGTTGTCAAGGTGAATGGGAGATCATTATTGATATTGGCAATCAATCATATTATTGTATCGATTTCGTTTAAATTGGCACGGTTCTGATAGTCTGCGGCTTTGATACTTTTGTTCGAAAGCGCGCGACTCTAACAGCTCCCCGCATAGGTTACCTGGTCAGCTAGCATCCATGACCTTGGCGTCAATTGAACAAACTTGGAATGAGTATGGACGGTCTTTTCGAAACAGCCACCTACCGCCACACACTCTGACCCAACTATAGCAACGGTTACAACAAGAATAGGAGGCTGTTCCTCAGACCTTCATGTATGTAATCTAGATATCTAGTTCAATTCATAACACGACGCTGCTGTGACACCTGCTAAAAATTTTACGTAAAAAATATTACTGGTCACTGTACTTGTTTAATAGCCCCTTTCAACAATGTAAAGCATTTCAAGAGACCGGATCTCTATATCGTACGCTCATCTCAGATTGGAACGAGCTAAATCATCGGTGGAGAGCTTTAAAAACATCTTAGAAGAACACAAGTTCAAAATGGTCCCTTTGGGATTCGAACAGGGGCCATTCTCTCAGTTAGTGTAGTTTAGCACGATGCTCACTGAGTCAAAGGTGTGCCTCTTTTAAAATAAACTAACATTTTCCCACAGTGTTTTTTATGCCGACGGCAATGAAACATTTTCAAGTTTTCCTTCTGTTGAATCTGAGCAAATAAAGATATCGCTCCTGTAATTTTTTAGTTTGGGGATAGTCAAATGTTACACACTTGTGTTTCTTCCTCCCATATTAAAAAGTATGATTTTTTTCTTTTGATAATAGGGAAACATATCAAGAGAGCGAAGAGGTAAGATTTGTAAAATGTTCAAATAACATTGACCTAAAGGAGTTTAATATAGATTCTATCCACAAAAAACAGGCTTCCTTTAACTATCAGTGGTCACAAAAACAGGAGTACGAAGTAAATTCTAACGAATTGGTGCCCTGTACAACAGACTGGTCACTCTCACAGGTGGTCAAGCGTGCGTCATCAGCAAGGCCTAGCCTCTATGTCGATACGTCAGAGAGTAACGAAGTGAAAGATTCAAGGCTCTGGACTCTCAGTTCTACGTGTCTGACTCGGCTTGGTACAGTCAACGTCTTAGAGTCGTCAAACATGGCTTATCTCTTCTCGTTCAGTTGTTTGTCCCTTCTACTCGTCACTGTTGTCACCGGCATGACCGTAAAACCGGGCTGTGAAAGAAATGGCGTCATGTACAAGGTATGAAAGTCTATTTTGTTTTTCTACGAAAACATCATCATCATCATCATCACCATCATCATCATCATCATCATCATCATCATCGTCGTCGTCGTCGTCGTCGTCGTCGTCGTCGTCGTCGTACAGAGCAGAGAGTAAAAGAGGTTGAGACTTGGTAGTATTTCCAAAATATTTCATGACTTGTTCAACGTTTCGCTCTCATCATCATCATCATCATCATCATCATCATCATCATCATCATCATCATCATCATCATCATCATCATCATCATCATTCTAACATGAGCAATACGATTAAATTCAAATAGATAACATATTTTAAGAATTACTTGACAGGTGAAAACGTAATACATAATAATATATGTATTATCTATCTTTTATCTCTCTATATGTCTATCTGACTATCTCTCTATCTCTCTATCTATCTATCTATACGAATAAAAATGTTCTATTTAAAAAATTGTCACGAAGTGAACACAGCAACGATAAAGCGTACACTTAAAAATGTAGAATACAATAAAACCTCACTCACAGTAGCAAACACAAATTACCGGAACAGTTGTTGACAAAAAAGGTTTGTTCTCTATCTCCGTCTTCTACCCTCTCTATCTCTTTCTCCCCCCCCCTCTCTCTCTCTCTCTCTC